CAACAGGGTGTTGTAACAGCTACTGCTCACAGATACCCAGGATCCACGTGGAGGTTAGTCTGTAATCAGTCCCACTGGCTCACGAAGTACATACCTATCAGCAGTATTTATGTAACTTCTTTTATCACTATGTCAATTCAGTATAAACTATAAACACTTACCTTATGTATTTTGTCATCCTGGGGTAATTATCAAGGAATAACAGATTTTTTTCCTTCAAAATATCAAGGTACATTTTATCTATTTGTTCTTCCACAGTATTTACTCTTGGACAGTTATTTTCTGTACCTTCATGTGTTGACTTTTGTAAAACTATATGCTCTTCATTTTTGTCCAAAAATTGGTTCACATTTTGTGCTTCTTGAGACATAACATTTGGATGCATCTTAAGGGGTGAAGGGTTAACAAATTCAGCTTCTTTATTCTCAGCCAGTTTCTTATAGCTATAAAACAAAACAGGACACAGAGGACGAACCCTGTATGGCTCCTCAAAATTAACATATATGTATACACATGATATACAAGAAAACGCATTTAATTATTAACATATATAATACTATTAAATATATTTAATACCTGTAACTCTCAAATTAGGTCATTAATGTTAAATATATTACAATTCTGGTTAACAGAGTATACTCACATAGTGTCACATAATTGTTTTAAACTTCAGATAATAATTTTAATACAGTATAATATTAGGGATTTCATGGTTGACTTGAAGACCTACTTCAAAGGAAAGCCAAACCAAATAAGACTGAGATTGCTTTTGTTTAAGAAAAATAAAAAATGAATCTAAATGGCCCTTTTTTAATATATCTTTTATCCATATTATAAAGTCAACATACATTTGAGGCAGGAAAAACATTTCATACATTTCCAGTAGAAACTAAAGAAGCAACCATAATTTACGTCAATGAAGCATAAAATATAAATATTAAAATCCATGAATTTCATCACAGTGTAAGAAAATCTTGAAACAAATTCACTAGGATTTTTAAATGAAATCACTCCTGTGGCTTAAAATACTTAAATGCAATGTAACATTTCAGAACATTACATTTTTAAAATATGAGAAATACCCCTTAAGGCAATGTTATAAATGTGGGTGAACATCAGCATATTATGGGAGTTCCAAAAATACAGATATTGTCATTTTCAAATCACCTTAATCATGGTCAATGAGGTCACTTCATTTTGTAATTTATAAAATAAGATTAAAAAAAGTTTAAGAGGCTACCGATTCAATGAGGTAGATTGGCTTCTCTACAATTGCTAGAAATAACTGTGAGAAGTAGCTGGGATGGTCAGAAAACCTAAGCGCCCTTCCTTCTTCGTGGTGGCAGAAGCCAGCCGGCCGCTCACTAACACTGCTCCTCATGCATTGCCCCTCACCAGCTGAGCCGCACTCCGCTCCGCCTCCAGTCTACACGGGGCCATCACCAGTTCTGGCCTTTGGAATGTGAGGCGACGGTGAGCAGAAGTTAAAATTCGTGTCATGGGCTTAGTGGTCAGGTTCTGGGTGGCAAGGAAACTGATACTAGAGGCTGGAGAGGGGCCAACTCACATTTTAGGAAAAGTGACAAAACATTTGCTAAGCTGTCACCTACAGTGGTTCACAAGGCCGACCACTGGCGCCTGAGCCTGGGGTCCTTGGCAGAGTCTGAGAACGGCAGGAGAGGACAGGGAGTGTTGAAGTGCCGGCAACTACTGGCTACTGCTGGCAAGATACTATGTGAAACAGATGAGCTCAAGACAGAACGGGCTGATCTTTAATGAAGGAATCCAAGGGAACAGAGTCTAGAAACTCAGGGCCTCTTAGGTTCACTCTCTGCATCTGGACTCACACAGTAAGATTCAGCACTGAAAAATGCTGTGAAAAAGCAAGATTTCATGAGAACTCCTGGTTGAAGAGTGACTCAGTTCCTTGGCAAATATCACATTAGAGGTGTCATCTTCAAACTTAAGATTATTGCTCCTCATAATAACCAGACAGCTGCAATTAAACTGAGAAAAAAAACCAACAAAACTAATGTTCTGTAATTATAGTTACTGCCACATGGGACTGCCTGGAACCAAACAGATCAGAAGCCGAAAAACTTTTTGAAGGAGTTGTAATGACAAAGATGACAAAGAAACCACAACTCTACTTAAAAAAAAAAAAAAGCTAGAGACTTGTCTGGCAGCCTTAGAACCACCTACCTGCAGGCAGAAAGTAGGTGGAGAAGAGTGCATTCTCAATGGGCGTCCCCTCCCACCAAAGCCCATGTCAGTTGAAGCCAGTGGTGAAGGGACACAAGACCACTGGAACCAGGAGCTCCATGGAACAACACATTTATAAAGCAGTTCCTCCTTAAGAGCAGAATAATGGCCTAATTAAGGAAAATGCCCAACTTGAAGGTAGGGGGTCTTCCTTAGGTCTTTCAGTGGCTCTCAAAGCTGTGTTACTGATTTCCATAGCTTCCTCACTCTTTCCTTTCTGGATAGGAGTGTTCTTGCAGATTCACTGTCATATACGGGGTGAAGTAGGAAGTGACTTGGCTTTCAATTCACTGATTAGTAGACAATGAGGAGCTACACTGAAACCTGACAAAGAGAACCATGCTTCACCTGGAAATCCTTACCATTCTGAATGGGACTCTGGGCTGTTTGCTTTGGGGAGGGGCTGAGTAGGTCTTTGTTCAAGGAAGAGTAGACAGGTTATCTGGCTGTTAGAAGGGGAGTTTCTGGTAGAGATTGGCTAGACACCTACCAAATGCATTTACATTTCTTTCTGGGCACACAAGCAAATCACATTTTCTAGCCCTCTTGGACCTAGTTTAGCTGGATGTGCTGGTTCTTACCAACACAATGTGGGCTGAAGGGAGGTAACACTCCTGTGATTAGGCAGTTAAAAGGAAGCATGCTAACCATCTATTTTCTTTCCTCATTGACTGATAAGGCCAGGAGGACCTCAAAACCATGTGTTGATGACAAAAAGCCTCCTGGGTCCCTAAATGACTATGTGGAGCAGAGTCCCACCCCCAACTCCATTGAGACATGTGGAATTAGGATGTGAGCAAGACAGAAATTGCTGATGATATTAAACTACTGAAATTTCAAGGACTATTTGTTACAGCAGCTAGGATTACTTATCCTATGGTTTACTAATGGGTTTTTGGATATGCGTACTCAACTTTCTACTACTGACACACCTATAATTATTTTTATGCCTTTAATTTAAGTATACTTGTTTTCAGCTTTTAAGCACCAACGTAAACATCTCTATTTAGAATTCACATTACTAAAATTGTGTCAGTTATGCCAACAAAGATGCAAGATGTGTAGAAAAATCCCTTCAGTGACCCAAGTGTAGCCCCAAACAGCAGTGATAAGGGAGCACAATTAGCCCCATAAAAACACTAACTAGCACCACAGACCAGGGGAGAAGGCTAGACTCAGTGGTCAGGTAGACAGGGTTTAGGGTGAGCCACAGCACATCGCTTTCTCTCAACTAGCACATGCAGTACAAACAAGGCCAGGAGATCACTGCAGGTGGATTTCATGATGAGCATGGGGTTCAAGGAGGGGCTCAAAAACTTGTCTGTTGAAAACACAAATGAACAAATGATACAAGAATGGATGACAGGCTTTTCACAGAAATATTTCATGGGGTTCAAAGACCTGACAATCCAACTGCATTGCTGGGTTATGGCCATGTGATCTTAAACAATTTATTTAACCTCTTTAAGCCTAGGTTTCTTATCTATGAAATGGGGATGATAATGGAGACTATACCTCATGAGGCTACTGTAAGAGTAAATGAAATCTAGTATGTAAAGAACCTTGCACAATACCAAGCTCACAGTAAGCAGGTGGTAAAAATGTTTGCTGTCATCATCTGGTTCTTGTGAGAGCCCCGCCACTAAGTTGGTTCACCTCAGTCTCATCACTTGAATGATGAGGATAAAGATGCCTGACCTACTTATTATGTAGATCTCATAAGAAAATGGATGTGACACTTGTCTAATGACAAGGCTATTGTGACATGCTACTCTGTGCTGGTGAATGACAGCAAGGCCCCACAAGCTTCCATTAAAAGCTACTGGAGCCGGAACATTTTCACAAAGTCCTTTTCTCTTGTGACCAAAGAACTCACCCTAGGAGATGAAAGTATCTATTTTCACCTTTAAGAAAAGGTGAAAACACACCTACCCAATTGCTAAGTAACTCCACTCAGAGGTATACAATTAACAGAAAGAAATGTGTGCTATGTGCAGGGAACGCTATGTACAAGATTTACCATAGCTGCATTATTTAAGGAGCCCCAAACTGCACATAACCCAAATGTCCATCAGCAGTAGAACAGAGAAATAAACTGCAGTATATTCTTATGATAGTATCTTAAACTTCAGTGAAAATGAGAAAGCTAATGCCACATACAAAATAGTATACATCTCACAAACGCAATGCTGTATGAAGGCAGCGGGGGGAGGAGAGAGCAGATATATAATCCTGTTTTTATTAAATTCAAAAACAAGCCAAACTAACCTCTGATCACAAAGTCAGAACAGTAGTTAACTCTGGGGTGAATAGATTATTTGACTGGGCCAGGACACAGGGAGACTTCACAGTACTTGACAGGTTTGGATTTAGGTTATGGTTACAGAAGCATGTTCACTTTGTAAAAGTTCATCAATATAGAAAAGTTCATTTCTGGTCAAGATGGTGGAGTAGTGGGACCACGAGCTCACCCCTCCTCATGCCTAAAACAAAACCACAACCGACTGCTAAACCGCCTCTTCTCCCAGGAGTAATGTTTTTCTTCTGTGAAGTGTTTTATCGACTTGGACTGATGAACTTTGTTTGAAATAATCCATCAAGGCATGAATCCTATTGCATGGAAAAAGTCACTTCAAGAAGATAAAAATCAGTTAAAAAAAAAAAGAAGATAAAAATCTAAAACATATTTGAGTTTCATCTTACTACTACTTTTATTATATAAACGTAGTACTGAAAACTATATTTTATTTGGATGAGTGCTAAGCTTTTAAATCAACTAGCTGATTCAGAGAGGAGTAAAATTTATTCTCAGAAAAAAATACTAAAAAAAATCTAATAAAGGTAATGACAATGATAATTATTTGTAATATTGAGAGCTTGTTAAAAATGGAGATCTGAAGCATCTCCCCAGGCCTACTAAATCAGAGTGTGCATTTTAACAAGATTCACTGGGATTCCTGGGCAAATAAATGTTAGAGAAGCACTTATTCAGTGTCCCTAATTGTCCCTAGGGAAGGAAGAGCCAGACTGAGATTCACTGCCAGTCAGCACTCACAATGATTTGCATAGTAAATACACATAATGGAAGATTTAAATAACTAGTAAACTTTGATTTTCCTTAGCATAGTGAAAAATCTGGAATAAAAAGGCAGTGCAAAATTTATTTTTATAAAAACT